TTTTTTTTGCTGTACGCGGGCCTCTCACTGTTGTGGCCTCTCCCGTTTCGGAGCACAGGCTCCGGACGCACAAGCCCAGCGGCCATGGCTCACGGGCCCAGCCGCTCCGCGGCATGTGGGAGCTTCCCAGACCGGGGCACGAACCCGTGTCCCCTGCATCGGCAGGCGGACTCTCAACCACTGCGCCTCCAGGGGAGCCCCGTCAAACTTTTTTAAAACAAGAAGTTATGTGTGTAGAAAGAGAAAGTGTTTCTTCTTTGAGCCAATGATGTTCAGGTGCTCAGGGACCCCCAGAACTGAAGCTGGGAGTTACTTGGTAATGATACTTGGCTGGGATCTCCTGGGCAGAGTAATGGAGCCGAGGGCATTGGCAGGTGAGTAAGGTGGTGTATTCCCAGGAGAGGTCTGCCACTTGCTATTTGGTTCAGGAGCGCTGACCATTTGGGCCTGAATTGTGTGGCTGCTCTCTGAGTCCGACCCTGCCAGCACACCCAAGGGTGGGAGGAACTCTGGAGTAGATATGAGTTCTAATCCCTCTTTTGCTGTTTGACCTTGAGCAAATCATTCAGCCTCTCCAGGTCTCAGTATCTTCATAGTTTCCATCATATTAAGGGCTTGGACTAGAACTCCATGTCTTTTCTCTGATTCTCAGACCACAGGCCAATGAATGAATCCCTGTTACCCCCAGATGCAGCGTGATCCTTTCCTAGACACATCAGTGTTTAAATTGGAGTAATGTTTACATCACTTTTAAAGGGAGAGAAATCATTTAAGAACGGAGTAGCATATTTGAATAATACTGCTCAGAAAATATAATTCAAAAGGTGTTAAACATTTTCAAACATGTACTACCCAGAAACTAAGTTCTATGGTAACATGTAGTCAAGAACCTTCTGTTTGTACCTTCTCATAGAGATACCTCTTGCTGCCATTTTAGTCATCAACAGGGATGTGCAAAGGGCCTGGGGTGAATCAGACCCTGGAACCAATGTGACATGAAGAGCATGTGTTGAACATTCCCAAGGCTATCCAAGTAACTGTGGTAGTTCCTTTAAAGATTGGTTTTGAAAAGTTACTCATGTATAAGCTAGTTTTAATTCATTTTAAATCGCCCTGTACTTCTCCTGTTTCAACTCGTAATTTGTCATGTAATCCATAACATGTAAGGAATGGTCAAAGAAGCTGTAATCTCAGGAAGAGACGACTTAGAAAGGGCAAGATAAAGTGGCTTCCTTTGTTTGAAGGGCTAATCATAGAATCTAGCCTTTTGCATAGTGGTACCTGGCAAAATGAGGGCCATTGCATAGGCTTTGGCACAGTGCAGGTAAAGAACTTTGCAGCAGTGAAATCCATCAGGAGATGGAATCTGATGATTTTCTGTCACTGGATATTCCAGGCAAACTGAATATTGCCTGTTCAAGGAGCTGTAGAGTCAGATCCAGGCCTTTGGTGGGGATGGATCAGATAACATTTAAAGGCCTTTCTTGAGCTAAAATGCCATGTTTATTTCCACTTCCCTTGTGTGGCCACAAATACTGTATCCTAATATTTTTCAAGTCTAGAAATTCCTTTGATATCACAATAAATTATTTCACAAATACCTTTTTAATGACCTTATAAACTCTTGAAGACAGAAACCATAAAACACTTTGCTTAACATTGAATATATAGTAAGTTCTTGATACATATTAAAGTCTGTTGATGAATACAAACTCAAACATCAGCAAGATAAATGCCCCTCCTATTTAAATTTCATAGAGAAATAGAAGTCACTTTGGTGGGCGGGGGGTATTTGTTAAAACATTAATGAAACTTTCAAATTTGTAAGATGGAAGAAAAGCTGTTCCTAGATTTTTCTCAAAAAAATTAAATTGATATCCAAATTTATATATAATAGGCATTCTTATGTTTTGAAATTTTGCAGCATATCCAAGTTTGATGAACGGTGTTGTTTTCTTTACGTCCATGATAATTCTGATGACTTTCAAATCTACTTTTCCACTGAAGACCAGTGCAGTAGGTGAGTTTTAATCTGATTCAGGTACTTTCAGTCTAATTATGGTGAATCACTTTTAAAGGGTCTTTGTTGTGAAAAATATTTAATTGCTATACTGCGTTTCCTGAAGTTTTAACTTATGGAAAACTTTTCCAGGTTTATTGAGATATAACTCACATACCATGCAATTTGCTCATTTTAAAGTATAGAATTCAATCTTTTTGTTTTTAGTATATTCACAGTTTTGCAGCCATCACCACAATGTAATTTTAGATTATTTTCATCACTCCCAAAAGAAACACAGTATCCGTTAACAGTCACTCCCCATTTTCTCTCAACCTAACCCCACCCCCCCAATCCCAGTCCTCTGCAACCACTGAATCTACTTTCTGTCTTTACGAATTTGCCTATTCTTGACATTTCATATATATAGAATCATACAATATATGGTCTTTTGTGACTCGTTTCCTCCATTTATCATAATGTTTTCAAGTGTCATCCATGTTGTAACATGTATCAGAATTTCATTCCTTTTTGTGGCTGAATAGTATTCCATTGTATGGATATATTTGATTTGTCCATCATTTGAAAGGCACTTGGTTTGTTTTCACTTTCTGGCTATTGTGAATAATGCTGCCATAAACATTCACATGCAAGTTTTTGTGTGAACTTATGTTTTAATTTCTCTTGGAGCCTAATAGCTGGGTCTTATGATAATTCTTTATTTAACTTTGAGGAACGGCCAGAGTGTTTTCCCAATTTACATTCCCATCAGCCATGTATGAGGGTTCCAGTTTCTCCACGTCCTCGCAATACTTGTTACCGTCCGTCCTTTTTTTTTTTTGCAGTACGCGGGCCTCTCCCGTTGCGGAGCACAGGCTCCAGACGCGCAGGCTCAGTGGCCATGGCTCACGGGCCCAGCCACTCCGCGGCATGTGGGAGCTTCCCAGACCGGGGCACGAACCCGTGTCCCCTGCATCGGCAGGCGGACTGTCAACCACTGCGCCACCAGGGAAGCCCTGTCCGTCCTTTTGATTGTAGTCATCCTAGTGGGTGTCAGGTGGAATCTCATTGTGGTTGTGTTTTGCATTTCCCTAATGACTAAAGATACTGAGGATCTTTTCATGATCTTATTGGCCATTTATATATCTTCTTTGGAGAACTATCTACTCAAATCCTTTGCCCAATTAAAACATTTTTTTAACTTTTTATTTTGGAAAATATTCACACCTACAAGAAAGTTCACTCAGAACTCCCTACTGTTAACCATTTACCACATTTGTTTTACATTCTCTCTATATGCAGATGACTATTTTGTTCTGAACTGTTGAAGAGTAAGTTGTAGACATAATGCTACATTACCTCTCGGTATTTCAGTACGTGTTTCCCTAAATACAAGAACATTCACTTATGTAATCACAGTACCGTTATCTAATCAGGAAACTAAGATTGATATGGTTCTATAATTTACAAACCTTAGCCAAATTTTACTTATTGTCCCACTAATGTCCTTTACAGTGAAACAAAAGATATTTTTTCTCTGGTTCACGATCTAAACCAGGATTACATACTAACATTTAGCCATCACGTCTGTATAGCCCCCTTTTATCTGGAACATTTCTTCATCAGTCTTTGTCTTTCTTGACTTAATGCTTTCAAAGAGTACAGACAGGGGTTTCCCTGGTGGCGCAGTGTTTGAGAGTCCGCCTGCCAATGCAGGGGACACGGGTTCGTGTCCCGGTCCGGGAAGATCCCACGTGCCGCGGAGCGGCTGGGCCCGTGAGCCATGGCCGCTGGGCCTGCGCGTCTGGAGCCTGTGCTCCGCAACGGGAGAGGCCACAACAGTGAGAGGCCCGCATACCACAAAAAAAAAAAAAAAAAAAAAAAGAGTACAGGCAGTTTATCTTGTATAATCCTTCAATTTGGGTTGGTTTGCTGTTCCCTCATGATTATATTAGTGTTATGCATTTAGGGTAGGAATACCATAGAAGTGATGCCCTGTCCTCAGTACATCACATTGGCAGACATACAGTATCTTTGTCTCATTAATGGTGATATTAACTTGGCTTACCTGGCAAAAGTGATGTTTGCCAAGTTTCTCCGAACTTTGCCCATTTTTAATTGGGTTATTGGGTTTTAATTGGGTTATTTTTGTTAATAAGTTTTAAGAGTTCTTTATATATTTTGGATACAAGGCCCTTGTCAGATGTGTGATTTGCAAGTGCTTCCTCCCATTCTATGGGTTATCTTTATACTGTGTTGATGGTATCATTTACAGTACAGAAGTTTAAATTTTGTGGCAGTCCAGTTTATCTGTTTTTCCTTTTGTCACTTGTGCTTTTTTTTTTTTTTTTTGCGGTACGCGGGCCTCTCACTGTTTTGGCCTCTCCCATTGAGGAGCACAGGCTCCAGACGCGCAGGCTCAGCAACCATGGCTCACGGGCCTAGGCGCTCCACGGCATGTGGGATCTTCCCGGACCGGGGCACGAACCCGTGTCCCCTGCAGCGGCAGGCGGACTCTCAACCACTGCGCCACCAGGGAAGCCCTCACTTGTGCTTTTGATGTCATATCTAAGAAGGCTTTGCCTAACCCAAGATTTTCTCTGGTGTTATTTTCTTCAAAGTTTTATAGTTTTAGCTCTTATATTTAGGTCTCTGAGCCATTTTGAGTTTTGTTTTTTTTTTTAATGGTCTGAGGTAGGGGGTCCAACTTCATTCTTCTGCATGTGGATATGTGGTTGTCTCAGCACCATTTGTTGAGAAGACTATTTCTTCTCCCATTGAATGGTCTTGGCACTTTTTTAGAAAATCAGTTGACCATAAATGTAAGCATTTATTTCTGGACTTTCACTTCTATTCCATTCATCTATATGTCCATCCTTTATGCTATTACCACATTTTCTTGATAACTGTAGTATTGTACTAAGCTGTAAAATCAGGAAATGTGAGTCTTCCAACTGGGTTCTTGTTTTTCATAATCGTTTTGACTATTGCAGGTGCTTCCATGTCCGTGTGAATCTTAGGATCAGCTAGTCAGTTTCTTCAAAAAAGGCCGCTAGGGTTTTGGCAGGGATTGCTTTGTATTTGCAGATCAATTTGAGAGGCTTTGCCATCCTAACCATGTTAAGTCTTCCGTCCCATGAACATATCTTTCTATTTGTTTAGGTCTTCTTTAATGTCTTTCAACAATTTTTGGAGTTTCAATGTACAAGTCTTATACTTTTTTGTTAAATGTGTATGTGTTTTATTCTTTTGGTTGCTATTCTAAGTGGAGTTGTTTTCTTAATTTCATTTTCAGATTGTTCATTGCTGGTGTGTAGAAATACACTCGAGTTTTGTATATTGATCCTGCAAACTGGCACTCATTTATTAGTTCTAACAGTTTTTATTGAATTCCTTAGGATGTTCTGTATACAAGATCATGTCATCTGCAGATAGAGATAGGTATAGTTCTTCCTTTCCAAACTGGATGTCTTTCTTTCTTTTTCTTGCCTAATTGTCCTGACTAGACTGCAGTATAATGTTGAGTAGAAGTGGCGAGAGCAGACATTCTTGTCTTGTTCCTGATCTTAGGAGGAAAGCGTCTAGTCTTACACCATTAAGCATGATGTTACTGGTAGGTTTTTCATAGATAACCTTTATCAGGTCGAAGAAGATTCCTTTATTCGTAGTTTGTTGAGAGAGTTTGTATCATGTAATTTGAGAACAGTCTAATTCAGTGCGTCTCAGACAATCATTATCACAACGTATTTAGAAATCAGACTAAATATCAGACCAGGGCACCCTTGGGCCACAATCTTCAATTTTAGAGTTGGGAAATGCTGCCAGATATGAAGCAGAACATCCCTTTACTACAGAGTTTACCTTCTGACTCTCATTCCGTCCTCTGTGCCTTTTCTTGCCATACATTAAATAAGTTTTTAATTGAGGTGTAATATACAGATGAGTGTGTTAAGTATATCAGCACCCCAGAAGGTGCCTTGTGCCCCTTCCCAGTCGTTAAACCCGCTCCTAATGTAACTATTTTGATTTCTATCACCAGTGGTTAGTTTTGCCTGTTCTTAAACTTCAAATAAATAGACTCATCAAGTATGTACTCTTTTATTTCTCACTTGTTTCTCTTAAAATAATATCTATGAGATTCAGCCGTGTTGTATTAGTTCATGCTTTTTTTCGCTGTGTAGTGTTCCATTGTGTGAATGTATATGACAGTTTATCTGTTCTATCAAACATTTGGATCGTTTCCAGTTTGGGGCCATTATGAATAAAACTGCTATGAACCCTCTTGTGCATGCCTTTTGGTGAACGTATGCATTGATTTCTGCACTGTATGTACCTAGGAATGGAGTTAGTACGTTGTGGGATAGGTTTATATTCAGCTTTGGTTGATACTAAAGTAGTTGTATCAATTTGCACTTCCAACAGCAACATATGAGAGTTCCAGTTGCTCCACATTCTGAACAACAATTGATACTGTCTTTTAAATTTTAGTTATTCTGTTGCATCCATACCACATGTCTCCTAAGAAGCTTGACTGTTGCATGTCCCAGCTTTCAAAAATTAGAAGAAGCAGAGGTGGGATGGGTTAGAGAAAAGAACATCCTAGTGTTTTTTGGAAATTATCTTAAAGTATGCAGTATTCTTCCCTGCCACCTTAAGAGAGAATACTGAATACAAATCATCTGAGTCAAGTCATTTGTATGCAAATAAATAACTACACAAGTCTAGGGAGTGGCTGATGTGTCCCAGCAGCATTTGTGAGAAATATTTATGGGTTATAGTTGATATTAAGCTTAGTCTATGTCAGCAGAACGATGAGGCCGTCTTACACATTTCCTTCTCACCTCTCCCCTTATACAAGACCTTATTTTTCACTAAGAGCTAGCGTGCTGGCAACTTGGGAGGTGATGGTCCCACTATCCTTAGCACTAATTAAATCACCCCTGGAACACTGGTCCCGGGACCAGACTTGAAGAATAATACAGGGACACCTTTGAAGAATTACAAGTTAGTGAAGTGACTCACAAACAAGTCCTGGGGGAAGCGTTGAGGGAACAAGAAGGAAAGACTTATAGGGATATAATAAAATTATGTACATTTCTAATGGGCAGTTATGTAGAAAGGGACTAATTCTAAGCAGTCTATGGATGAGACCCACATAAAAGAAGTCTTAGTTCAATATAAGTGAAGCATTTCTCATTGAGTTCGGCAAAGAATGAGCTGCCTTGTGAGGTAATGTGTTCTCTGTCCCTGGGGGTGTTCACGCATCAATTAGCCAGCCAGTTGGTGGTGATATTGTATAGAGGGGATTCAAGTATCATATGGGTATTTGAACTAGATTAGATAACCAGTACACTACCATGTCAAATCAGGGAGTGGAGTGATTGTTCCATAACTTGTAAAAGCTTGGTTTATTTAATCACAGTTTAATGTAGTAAGGCCAAGTTAGAGGAAAGGAATAGGAGTGATCATAATTAGCGGCATCTTTGTGACATTTGGTGTTCTAGGTTTTGCTCTTTGGTCAAAGAGATGACAACCAATGGAGTGGGCAGTACAGTGGAGCTGGAGGGAGAGACCGATGGGGATACCTTAGAGGTGAGTCACAGAAGACCTAGAACATGGAAAAAGTTATTTATTGTGTCTTTGATGCTTTAAGAAAATGTCCCATTTTTTGTGTGAAAGTTCTTTATGTGTATATTTTAAAATACTCATTAATGAACGAGCTAGCCATCACTATTCATGACTGTCAGAGATTAAATTTAATGCATCTCTATAGAAAAATCTCATTACTTTGGCATCCTATCAACCAGAATGTGTAAGAAAAATTTGACATGGACTAGACTAGAATTCCCTTTTGTGTACAACTGATGGAAAAGCTTTTTCTATGCTAATTAATAATGTTTGTGAAACTACAAGAGAAAGAGTTGGGCAAATAGAAGCAGACTTTTTCATTTATGCCTAAAATGACTTTAGTTATATCTACTTGCATTTAATATATTAAATATGATAATATGAAGAAATTAATTTCTTAATATTAAGAAAGGGTCATCATAAGCTCTTTTGGACAGCACAGTGGTAGTCCACAGATGACTACACCACTACACACGTGTTTAAATCTTGCACAGTTATTATGACTTGCCACTAATTCAGGTCCTTGTAATTTAGTGAGACTTTGCTATACTTTCAAGTGGGCTGAAATTAATTCTTTGAGATTTCTTACAGAAAATATCAAAGGGGTTCATTTTAATAATTGAGTCAGGTACTCGAATTCTTAGCTTAGAATCAAAGTTCGTTGTAGAAACGAACTGAGTGATGCACTTTGAAGGTGGGAGATAAAAGCCTGTTATGAAGCAGGCAGATGTCTGGTTAAATCAGACAGTGATGAGACCCACTAGTAACCTTAATTGTCGTGAGCATCCCTAGAAGTGGATGGGAAGGGACACGTCCACATGCACACGCGTTCTGTGCACTTCTGTAAGCGGGTATGGGGGCATAGAAGATAACAGAAAGAATCCCTTGCTGCCTCTGCTTTAAATAAATATTGCTCAGTCTAGAGTTACATTTCTTTTAATCGTTGAGAAGAACCAACTGGAATGCAGCTGTACAATTTTTGATGGTAAGATTGGGGGAACTTTGCAGTATGTGTTTAATGCTAGGTCTGTACCTCTAAAAGCAGGAGTGGGGCAGCATGTGTACTTTCTATTAAGACAATTTTAGTTTTATTTACCTTCAGTTCTCTTCTGGGCTGTAGAAGGTGGTTGCTTTCCTGGCGAGTTGATAAGGGATCATGTAAGAGGGCACCTATTTGGGTTACTTGACATGCTTAGAAGCAGTTTTAAATTGCAGCATCAAAGTGAGGGGAGTTCTCCAAAAGGTGAGCCCACTAAGTTACATATGAGCCGCATTTGTAAATTTCTTGCATTCTATTTCATAAAATCATGTTATGAATATATGAGTAACTGACAACTCTACCCCTTAAAAAGCAATTATTTAATGAAAAGTATATAACCCAAGAAATGTGACCTGCCTGGTACTCAAATAATGTTATTCATAAATTTTTTAAAAATTGCAGGACAATGTTTGGGCTTTTATGGGGTTTCTCCACCACAAGCTGTGTGCTTTTTTATCTTGTTGCTTTTCCTTAGTACGAGTATGACCACGATGCGAATGGTGAGAGAGTGGTGCTGGGGAAGGGCACATATGGGATCGTGTATGCCGGCAGAGATCTGAGCGATCAAGTGCGAATAGCCATCAAAGAAATTCCAGAGAGAGACAGCAGGCAAGTCAGGGCGGGCCTTCCACCTTCTACAGTTGCCACCTCCATACCCCAACTCCCGTGCCCACCACTGATGGTACATAATGAAAGCATTATGTCATCAAAAAACTTTGTAATTCTCTTCTAATAAGGGTGATCTGCTTTTGTGCTCTGCATATTATAAATAGATGGAGAAAATGGAACAACTTCACTTAGAGGCATGTGGATTGCAGAGTCACGTTTTAAAAGAAGACTGTAGTTTTATTTCCACCCGTCAGGAGGAAATAAAGTTTTACATTTTTACATAGGTGTTTGTTTGCAAATATTTAAAAATATGACTCAGTGTTTTAATTCACATTGTAACAATTTGAAATGGCTATTACTTATTCACATGTATCATTACAGAAAATTAAATGTGATAAGGAAAAATTTTAGTTTTTTGCTATACAGACTATTTTATTAATACCCTACCCTTCAACCTCACCCATAGATTTTGGACTATTGTTTTTTAAACCACAAGTACTACCAATTTATTTCTCCTACACTTTTTAAGAGTCTAACGAAAGGTTTATTCCTTTTGGAATTCATGCCCCTCCTAATTCTAAACAAGAACGTGTTGACTGTCAAGTGTTTTTTTTTTTTTTTTTCTGTCAAGTGTTTTTGTAGAGAAGCTACATATACAGTAATGGCCACAGTATAAGAAATAATAGCTCTGTGCTCCACCGGCGTGCTCAGACCACATCTGCAGCATTGCCTTCAGTGCTGGACACTGATGGCTGTGTGCAAATGGCCCTCCATCCAGGTGGTCAGTGAATTATTAAGGATGGATTACAAGTGATTTCTAGCAGCTGTAAGACCCTTTGTCATTCATTCGTTCACTTGTTCATCTATTCATTTTTAATGGGATTGTGTGTTATGATATTTGAATTATAAAGCAGGGTCTGAAATGAACTCATCCAACTTCTTCCAAGGCTAAGAAGGTTAAATGACTTCTCCGAGGACATGAAGAAACAAGGCTGGGATCCAGTCTCTTGAATTCCTCTTCCAGTATTCTGTCTCTTATTCTCATGATGGATAAGGCGTTGCAGTTGTTTGTTGGGGGAAAATTGCTGGCTTGAACCGCCTCCTTCAATCGGTTGTGTTAGTCGTTCCAGCTCTTCACTGCTCATGGTCGTTCCTGGGATTTTAGAGCTGGAAGGGACCTTAGAGACTGTTTTGTCCCATTCCCTAAATTTACAGGCTGAAGTTAGGATATTGGGTACCTTCTCTGTGCCAGATTCTGGGCTGGCACTGGAGACTGAAAGGGGAGTAGGATACTGTCCTAATGTTAGGGTGTGCCCAGTTTGGTAGAGCAAAGTGACAAGTGCCATAATACAGAGGTTCACAGAGTGTTTGTAGAGCATAGGAGTGGAATGAATTGCTCTTCTTGGTTGAGTTGTGGCAAGTTTGAGAAAATAAATCATCTTTGAGCCGGCCTTTGAGGGATGAGTAGGAGTTCGTCTGGCAGAAAAGGAGGCCAGAGCATTCTATGCTGAGGGGAAGCAGAGCTGTTAAGCACAGAGTGTACTGAGAGAAGAAAAAATTGTCTGTTGTGACTCGACTGTAGGATGTAGGGCAGTGGGGGGGGGGACTCTTGAGATGAGGCAAACATTTTTAAAGATGTAGTCTGACCTGAGTTTGAAAGTCCTTGTGTACCATGTTAAACAATGTGGTCTTTATGTGGACTTTAGGATGGGAAGTGATGTGATGGGGTGTGTGTTTTAGGAAGGGGAAATAGGGTGGCCAGAGGAGAATAGACTGAAGAGGCCAGAGGCTGAGGCTGGGAGGTCCATTAGGTGGCTGTTGCTGTAGTCTGGAATGAGTCTGCGGAATGAGACTAGAAGGCAGCTGAGGACAGAACCTTCTGGAACAGCTCCCTTCATGGGGGAGCAGAGGAAGAGAGGCTGTTGAGAGAGACAAAGGATGGTTGGAGAGTTCAAGCCCTATCGATAACCATAGTAACAGCAGCAGCCATTCACTGGGTACTTGCCACACACCAGGCACTCCACTGGGTGCCTGAGAAACTTGACACACTTTGGCCCCCGGCAGCCCTGAGTGCTTCGTGTTATTATCCCCTGTTCTACACATGGGAAGCTGAATAGTCTCATGGGAGCCAGGGGAGAGAACATTCCCACAAAGAAGGGATGGCCAGCAGCAGGGCAGGTACTGGTGAGGTGCGCTATATGGACCCCAAGCTCCAGGGATTTGGCAGGTGACACTGGCTTTGTTTTTCTCACCAGTTACTCTCAGCCTCTGCATGAGGAGATCGCCCTGCACAAGAACCTCAAGCACCGCAATATTGTTCAGTAGCTGGGCTCTGTTTCCGAGGGCGGCTACATTAAGATATTTATGGAGCAGGTGCCTGGGGGTGAGTAGTCACTGGTCTTCTGGTCTCATACCCTGAAAATCACTGATGAAAATATAATATGAGCATCGTTATTCATCCTGCCGTTAAAAAATGGCACATTTGAGGTGTGGGAGACTATTTGTTTCCCAGAGGAGTTGGATTCAGATTTTCCAGTGTCACATAAACAGTCTATTCCTGGTCTGGTAATTCAATCATCAAATATTCATTGAGGATCTACTGAGTGCCAGCTGCTGGGCCGAGCACTAGAGACATAGAGATGAATAAAGCATAGTCTCTGGCCTTGAGGCCTTCACAGTTTAGGAGTTGAAATATGCTTTGGAGAAGAGGAAATGGAGGTGTTTTTAAATGACATTGTGAAATAACATGTTGACAGTGAAATTGAACACCAGTGCTTTATCCACAAGATCCCCAAAGGCAGACAGTAGAGTGCGAGGGTGGGAGTTCCTCAGGTCTGGAGCCAGCCGTCTAGTTTGGTTTTTGTTTGTTTGTTTGTTTGTTTTTAATGTTTATTTCTTTATTTATTTGGCTGTGCTGGGTCTTAGTTGCGGCAGGCAGGCTCCTTAGTTGTGGCATGCGTACTCTTAGTTGAGGCATGCATGTGGGATCTAGTTCCCCGACCAGAGATCAAACCCGGGCCCCCTGCGTTGGGAGCGCAGAGTCTTTAACCACTGTGCCACTAGGGAAGACCCCAGCCATCTAGTTTGAGCTGGTCCCTCCATCTGCAAGCTGTGTGACCTCAGTTTTCTGACTGAATAAATGAATTTTAAAATTAGATTATTAATAAATACTGTCATAGTTGGAATAGTAATAATTATTGGAGTCATAATGACACTATCTCAATGGCTTATTGGATGGGGTGAGATAATGTTTGTAAAGCTCTCAAAACGGTGCCAGGCAGAGAGCAAGAACTCAGTAAGTGCTCATTTTAAGAAAATAATGATAAAATTAATAGTAATCTGAATGCAAATATAAAAACTTGAGTTAGAAATCTGTATTCATTCATTCTTTCAACTCATAGTTACTAAGAGCCTGCCATTACATTAAAAACCTAACTATATGTCTTAAGAGTCAGGCAATGCGCTAGATTTTGAGGGTTACATTTATGATGACGTACAGTGTCTTCTTCCCTCAGCCTCCTCATAGTCTAGCAGAAAATACTGATTTGTGTTCCAGACGTGAGGTCTTGAGGATGACCACAGAGCTGGAGATAGATGTGCACCTCCCCTTTTACAGATGGGGAAACTGAGGCATAGCAGGGTCCTGTGTAAGGGCGACTAGCTGCTGCTGAGGGCCTGGACAATAATCTCTGAAACACAGGGTCAGAAGGCAGTGAAGGGAGATTTTCTCTGGCCCCAAAGTTCAATGTTTAATAGTATAATTGGGGTCGGGGCGGGGTGGGTGTTTAGACCGTCCTGACCCTGGGACCTGGCATAAGGAGCTTCTCACAGTGAGGACAGAGAGCCCCAACCTCCTCCGATTCGGGTCCCTGTCTCCCTTAAGGGCCCCTCACTCTGTTCCCGTCCACCTCTGATTTCAGGGTGAGGTAGAAAGCGTGGCTTTGACCCAAGCCCAATGGCTGAGGCGCTTGTGCCGCACGTGCAGTGTCAGGCCAGCCCTTCAGAGTTCAGAGAGCACTGTTGCGCTCTCTTCCTGATTCTGTGCAGCTGAACGGAGCTGAGCCCGAAGGTGGCCTGGCTGAGTTTCGGGGGTCACAAGGGGTTCCTTTCCACCCTGCACCTCTGGTCAGGCTGATGTGCTGGTTCACGCCCCGTCCCTTCTCTGACTATGCTGCTTGCGCATCTGGGAAACAGGCAACAGAGAGGGAGGAAGGATGCTGCATTTAGCCCAGATACAGTGATGTGGGCGCGAGTGCTTACATTAGGTTAGAAACGTCACTTCACTTTATTTCCCTGAACGCTTATAATTGACTCTTCATCGCCCTGATGAGTTTTGTTTTTTTTTTTTTTTACTGTGTCCATTTCCAGGAAGCCTTTCGGCTCTTTTGCGATCAAAATGGGGGCTGATGAAGGAGCCCACCATCAAGTTCTACACCAAGCAAACCCTGGAAGGCCTCAAGTATCTCCGCGAAAGCCAGATTGTGCACAGAGACGTAAAGGTACTTGCTTGTCTGAGCCAATGAGATTTTACTTTGCATCTCAGATCACATGAGCTGCTGGAGTGTCTGCAGGTGGACGGGCTCACGGAGGGGAGAGGATTGAGCAGAGTCTAGTCTTCCTAGAGACACATGACCATTTCTTAAGGTCCAAGTCTATTTTACATTAATTTGTTTAAATCTTTCCTTAAGCATTTGATGTTCTTCCTTTTCTGAAGGGTGATAACGTTCTGGTGAATACCTATAGCGGAGTGGTGAAAATCTCCGATTTCGGCACCTCTAAACGTCTTGCAGGAGTGAATCCATGTACAGAAACTTTTGCCGGTAAGCAGACAGAGCTTGGCGTGGGGTCGCCGTCCTGGGGTTAGGCTTGCTGCAACTGCAGTCCTTTGGAAGTTACTCACCAAGCACCTGTGTGCACGCTGGACAACTGGTAGTTGAAGTGGACGGTGTATTGTCCCCAACTTCAAAGTGTTTGAACTCTGTCATAATGATGCACTTAGCTATTTGTGGCAACGAGATTGCCTTACTTTCTTCCTTGTCTTCCAAGGTCGAGTAGGTGTTGTGCTCTGCTTGAGGTTTTCCGAGGGTTTCTAACCAGTCAGCAAAGTGGCAGCATCTCTTCTAAGTTAGTAGCACATTATTCAGAATCGTGGGTAATTCTGAATAACAGTATCCCTCAGGCAACTTATTAGAACATTTTATTGGTCTTTTATAAAAATAGCCTGTTACTTTAGGGAGTTCTGGTAGCTCGTGCTTTAATATGATTATGTTTCCAAGAGAAGCTGATTCTTTTAGGGTGTTCTAAGATGGGTTTGGTATTCTAAGTGGGTTTGAGCGATTGAATTTTCTTTTCCATGTGTCAGTGATGGAATCATTTATGTGTTGAGAGGGACTGGATTCAGAGAGTGGAATAAAATTGCCAGCTAGCTTTCCATGTACACCACCAACGAGTAGAATTATGCTCAGAAGCCCCCTATGGCTTTTTGTAATTCCCATTTAAAAGCAAAACAGAAACTTTGATCCTCGGAGAGAAGTACTGATTTTGATTAAGTAAAGGTTTGTGCTCCCCCTAGGGTGTAATGAAAGCATCACAAAGATCTTGCCTGATGGAATTATGAAACAGCGCTTATCATATTATAGCTCCGATGTAAGTTATAAAAGACAGATGATTGTTTTCTATCCCTATAACACCAAACTAGAGAGTGGACAGACTTGCCTTTACTTTTGGTGAATAATGTCTCAGCTTTGAAAGACTTTTCTTCAACAAGACAGTTGTTATGTCAGCCACTGGACACCCACAGTAGAGACTCGTTCTCTATCTAAAGAGAACTTTGATGCATCAGAAATGACTTCTCAGTTGTAACACCAAAGGAGGTACATGCACCTCAAAATGGGGAACTATTACACCAAGGACCCCACGGGGATCTCCCCAAGAGTGTATTGAATGTTCATTCATTGTTGCTGATATATATATATCTCTCAACATGTATGTATCGGTGAGTATGCATGTGTGACTGGCATATTTCTTTACTAGCCTAATTAAAAATGACTTCCGTCCTTCTCTTCGGAAGCCACCAATTAGCTTAGCAATATGTAGCAAGAGGGGCTCTGATATGGTAAGGAGTTATTTCAAGACATAAAACCCCCAACAATTTATCTCATAATTACCATCCCCAAGGAGAAAAAAAAATCATAAAGAAAACGCATGTATAATTCATCATTGCGTATCACATTTTCCCAAGTAATTGGCTTGAGGAGGCATGAATTTTGCATTGCAAAATAATGCAGGGGTGTTTGGGGGATAATAAAGAAGGGGTGTCATTTGGGGTAGGAAATTCCCCTGCATATAATTACTCTTTGCAAAACAGAGCGGTTCTGTAAAGAAATCTCAGCTGCTGGTGCCACACTCCGACTGGGTGCGGGTGGACACAGTGGGGCGTTTCCACGCAAATGCCCGGAGGCTTTTGGAGCCTGGAAGGACAGACAAAGGCTTCAGACAACTTCCTGGCCCGAAGTCCTCCCCTCCTGTGTTCCTCTGAAGGCTTTTCACCATAGGTGTAAACCAGCTAGAACAGGAGGAAGGGCCATTACGGCCAGGGTCAGCCCCCTTTGCTTTTGGTTTTGCAACAGCTTTATTGAGGTTTAACTCACATATCGTAACATGTACCCATTTAAAGTGCACATTTCAATGGTATCTGGTCAATTTTCCAAGTTGTGCAGCTCTCGCCACAATCCAATTTTTGAACATTTCTGTCACCCCCAAAAGGTGCCACCTTGCAGTCAACCCCATGCCCACCCCCAGCCCCAGGCAACCAGCGACCCACTGTCTGTATAGATATTCCTGCTCTGGAGATTTCTTATAAACAGAATGATACAATGTGTGGTCCCTTGTATCCAGCTTCCCACACTTCACATAATCTTTCCGAGGTTCACCTGTGCTATATATAGTGTATATCGGTACTTCATTCCTTTTCTGGCTGAATAGTATTCCATTGTATGGATAGACCACATTTTGTTTATCCATCTACCAGTTAATGGTCATTTGGATTGTTTCCCCTTTTTGACTATAGTGAATGATAACGCCGTGAACATTCACATACAAGCTTCTGTGTGGAGATATGTTTCCATCCCTCTCCGGTAGATACCCAGGAATGGAACTCGGGACAGGAACTCTGTTCTGATCTGTGGCTGTGAACAGCTTTGGTTCAAATTCTGGCTCAACCACTTGCTAGCCGTGTGGCCTTGGGCATATCACTTAAGCTCGCTGCGTCTCCGTTTCTTCATAAGTATATAAAACAGAGATGCTCATAATACCCACTTCAGAGGGTTTTTATGTGGATTAAACTAGTTAATATTGATGAAGTGCTTTAACCAGTACCTGGCTCATAGCAAGTGCAACTGAAGTCTGCATTAGTGAACTAAATACTAATTTGCACTGGTCATTCAAGCTGGCAGGAGCCTTTGAGAGAATCGAGTTTATGTGCATAACTAACATGTTGAGCCTGTCAGACTCAAAAGGTGTAATTTTTGTTTTTATTTTCGTCTCCCACGCCTGCTCAGGGCAATGGTCCTTTCCCGTGACTCTTGCAGCCACACTTAGATAACAAAGAGAATTTTTTTTTAATTTTATCAATCCCTATTTCTTTTTTTAAAATTTTTATTGGATTATAGTTGCTTTACAATGTTGCATTCGTTTGTACTGTACAGCAAAGTGAATCAGCTATATATATATACATATATCCCGCTTTTTCGGATTTCCTTCTCATTTAGGTCACCACAGAGAACTGAATCGAGTTCCCTGTGCTATACAGTAGATTCTCATTAGTTATCTATTTTATACATAGTATCAATAGTGTATATATGTCAATCCCAATCTCCTAATTCATCCCACCCTGCCCCTTTCCCCCTTGGTATCATTACATTTGTTCTCTGTGTCTGTGTCTCTATTTCTGCTTTGTAAATAAGATTGTCTATACCAATTTTTTCAGATTCCTCATATATGCTTTAATATACAATATTTGTTTTTCTCTTTCTGACTTACTTCACTCTGTATGACAGTCTCTAGCTCCATCCATGTCTCTGCAAGTGGCACAGTTTTGTTCCTTCTTCTGGCTGAGTAATACTGCATTGTATATATGTACCAAATCTTTATCCATTCCTCCGTCAGTGGACATTTAGGTTGCTTCCATGACCTGGCTACCGTAAATAGTGCTGCAATGAACATTGGGGTGCATGTGTCTTTTTGAATTATGGTTTTCTCTGGGTATATGCCTAGTAGTGGAATTGCTGGGTCATATGGTAGTTCTAGTTTTAGTTTTTAAAGGAACCTCCATACTGTTCTCCATAGTGGCTGTATCAATTTACATTCCTACCAACAGTGAAAAGGGTTCCCTTTTCTCCACACCCTCTCCAGCATTTACTGTTTGTAGACTTTTTGATGATGACCATTCTGACCGGTGTGAGGTGATGCCTCACTGTAGTTTTGATTTGCATTTCTGTTAGCTACCCCCACGAGATATGGGCCCGGTGCGAGAAGGGGGATCCCTGCCGAGCGGGTTGCTGGTTTCACGCGGCATGGTGATTAAGCTCGTGATCTAATGGAGCGACCATAGGGTATAATGGAAATAAAATTGTTAGAGGATATATAATATGTAAGAGCATGCATATTATGTAATATGTAAAATCACTAATGATTAGTGATGTTGAGCATCTTTTCATGTGTTTGTTGGCCATCTGTATGTCGTCTTTGGAGAAACAAAGGGAAAGTCTTAATGGCACTTTGAGAAGCAAACGAAGTCTGAATCCAGTCATTGAAAGGGTTCCGGCGGATACACAGGCGCGCCTTGTTTAATTGCGCTTTGCTTTGTTGCGCTTCGCAGATAGTGCTTTTTTTTTTTTTTTTTACAAATTGGTTTGTGGCAATCCTGCATTGTTAGATGATGGTGAGCATCTTTTTAGCAATAAAGTATTATTTATTTAGTTGTACTGGCTCTTAGTTGTGGCAGGCGGGCTCCCTCATTGCGGCTCACGGGCTCCTTAGTTGCAGCTCATCAGCTCAGTTGTGGCTTGCCAGCTCCTTCGTTGTGGAGCGCAGACTCCTTAGTTGTGGCATGTGAATTCTTAGTTGCGGCATGCACGTGGGCTCTAGTTCCCTGACTAGGGATCGAACCCAGGCCCCCTGCATTGGGAACACAGAGGCTTATCCACTGCGCCACCAGGGAAGTCCCTAGAAATAAAGTATTATTTAATTTAGGTCTGTATGTTGTTTTTTTAGGTATAATGCTACTGCACACTTAATAGACCACAGTATAGTGTGAACATAACTTTTACATGCACTAGGAAACCGGAAAATTCCAGACTCATTTTATTGCCATATTCGCTTTATTATGGTGGTCTAGAACCGAACCTGCAGTATCTCCGGGCTCTGCCTGTACTCATCCACACGCTCGTCCTCATTTAAAGGGTGGACTCCTCTCCCCGTCCCCACTGGTCGGGGTGTCGGTCTTTGCTCCCTCCCTCACCTCTTTCCCTCCTCACCAGATGTGGACAGGAGAGAAGAGGGGCAGAAAGTTGTCACCTGACTAGCACTGTTCTAAGCTGGCTTCCTGTGCTCTGGGTCTGGCTGATGGTTGCTATTAACTCTTTGCTGCCGGACCCCTCTGAATATAACTCCCGTGTCCGGGACAGGGGCCTCTCCTTTGGCTGACTACACCTTGCTTCCTCACCCTGGTCTCTTACCCTGCACATTATAACTACCCCTCCATCTTTTTCTACTGAGGGAACCAGGCCTGGAAGGCTGTCTTTGGGCAGGATTCCTTTTA